CCAGGTTTTCCTTATTTTCAGTTAGAATTGATAGAATCACAGAATCAAATAATGGCTGAGATTGGACAGGGCATCTGGAGGCCATCTAGTCCAACCCCCTGATAAAGCAGGGATAATTACAGCTGCTTGTCCAGGACTGTGTCCAGGTGGCTTTTGAATATACCCATGGAGGGAGACCAGACAGCCTATCTGGACCACTTGTGCCAGTGCTCAGTCATCCTTCCAGTAACAAAATGTTTCCTGATGTTCAGAACCTCCTATGTTAGTTTGTGCCCATTATTACCTGCCCTGTCACTTGTAATCATTGAATTCCTCATGTCAAGAAAGAGTGAAAAAATTGGACAGAAGAGTATGTGGATGGAAAAATTATAAGCTTCAACACAAATATATTTTTAAATATTTTCATTATCTCCAAATAAAGCATTGCAGTGAAGAAAAATGCAGTACGCTATGTCAAGCACAGCTTCTACTTTTCTGTACTTGATCAGTAAGGTTAGAATATCCCCATCCTCTGCCATCCATTCCTCATCTCTACACGAGTGTTTTTGTTGCTATTTTTATTGGCATTTTCAAGTATCACAGATATCATTTATATTCAGTAATTCCACAAATTGCAATTGTTACAAAGTGCTAGGTACATATTTGGCTTTACTGTAGCGGGAAAGAAGCAGCAAGAGCAGTTTCATGTGTCTTTGATTTGATATAATTTTGATTGTTCTGTGTAAAAAAAGTATTGACTGGCTGACCACGTGGTCCAAAAACATGAAAAAAAAGGTGTTCCGAATAATGCTTGAACTGTCCTACTTTTAACACCAGTTTGCTATCCTTTATCACCATCTGAGATAGAGTTAATTCTTCTCTGTATCTCCTGTGGATGTGAAGCCATGCCTCACTTAGATGAGCTTTATAGAATCTGCTGTAGGTGATTAAAAGAAAAATGATTTCATGTAACTGGTACTAATTGTTTTTCTGAATTTTAAACTCAACCCAGGTTCAAAAACCCATTGAGTCCAGTTGTTCTGAATTATATATTGAAACTAGTTTTGACGCAGCTTAAAATTACTTTGACTGAATTCTCCTTTTGGTTTTGGATTTCTCATAACGATGATGTGATATTCGCTGATTAAAAATAAGGACTAGATTTTTTCAGGACCTGAAGAAAATCCATATTTCCCCCCCCAAAATATTTGTTCATGATTCAATATGTCATAGACTTTAGATTTGAATTTTGGCCAAGTGTTGGGACCTGAACCATAACCTTACCTCATGCTGTATATTATCCTGCATATGTTGTAGCATAATTGAAATTGCAATTACTTGTTATCATTAGTCCAAGTGTTGTACCAAGTATAAACCTCATTACTCAAAATAACTTGTTTCTGTCTTTAGGTAAAAAAAATTCAAAGCTGTGTTTGATTGCACAAGGGAGTAGATAAACACAAACATAGTCTAAGTATGTCATAGGATTTTCCTCTGAAAGAAGAGACCCTGTCTCTACTGTTATGGAGACCAGAAATTCAGTGTACACTCAGTGAGGGGCGTGGTGCTGGATCTGGACCATGCATCACAGCTTGTGCACCAAATGCCAGCTTCTGGGGGCGAGTTTCTGTACCTTGCCAAATCAAGTGTGCATGGGGTGTGCATGTGGATTCACTGGCAAATTCCAAGCTGGACCAGCCAGGGAGTAGAAGGTCCCAGGTCTGGGCAGGCATATCAGGCAGGCAGAAGGGCTGTGATGATGTTTGGGGGGACCCACAAGTGCAGTCTTCTGATGGGACAAGTATGTGAGTTCTGCATGTGTGCAGTGAGGACCCAGTGGCACCAGCTGGTGAGTTGGTGACCTGTGGGATGGGTAAGGGGACAGGGGTGTTGGGCAGGCAGAAGGGCCGTGCTGGTGCTCAGGACAACCATAAAGGTGTGTGTGTTTGTGAACCTGGGCAGTTTAGAGTGTGTGCTGCACCTTCTGCCTCTGCCAGCCCAAGAAGAGGAGGGAACCTGTCTGCCTGTGCTTGGTGTGGGGACTGCTGGGAGCAACGCTTTGTCTGAGGCCATCTGTGTAGCCGCAGCTGTGGCCAAATCAGTGTCCATGTGTGTGGCTGGGATACACGCTTAGTTTGGTGACTGCAGCAGCATTGCTAGTGCAAAGGAGACAGTGGCAGATGCATCCCTCAGCCTGGGCAGAGACCTCAGGCTGGGCACCAGCAGCCAGGCAGGAGGGTTCTGGACTGGGCAGCGGAGGCGGTGGCCACATATCACATTACTCTGTCATTAGCACTGACTTGGAGTGACAGTCTTTCCTTGCTATTTATGTGATATGCCTAAGCTTAAGCTTTTACTTTGAGTCTCCTTTTGTAGAAGGGTTGTTCCCCTCACTGTTTTGAAGGCACAACTTAATCTAAAGTTTATTGATGGACTGCATGTGGTCTGTCCATCATCTCTGGAACTGGATCACTATTTACATGACCTTTAGATTTTTTTAATAATCCTTTATAATGATTTGTGGAGACCTTGATGGGTGCTCAGAAAGCCAAGACAATATGTTTTTTAACATTTAAAGTATGGATTTAAAAATTTATAGCACTATCAGCTAAGAAGTTGCTAGTATTTGTGTCAGGCCTGTGTCATTTTACTGGCTGACTGGTTCCTGTCTGTCAGTGTAGATTCAGAGCAGATTTCGTTTAGTATGAGGAGTTTTTGTTATCCAGGATCAGTATTTTTACTACATAACTTATGTTATGTAGTTATTTCATAACTCATGAAACAAGACATTTTTGCAGTTATGTATTTTTTTATTTATTTAGATGGTTCATTAATTACAGGGGTTTAATTATTTTGCAAAACCTAAAACTGAATTTCTCACCTCCCTTATTTTAGGGTTTTATTTTCTCAGTCATTCAGATTTTCTCATAGAGTCTTTTAGGTTTAAGAGCAAATGAAGGTAATCTCCTTTCCTCAGATTGTAGTGTAGCCTGGGGCAGAGAGGGGGGGGGACATCCCACCACAGTGCGCATCTTACTAATTTTACTAGCAACATAAATTCTTAGTTTGGAAAAACAGGTCTCTAAATTTATATTTCTGAAAATAAATGCAGGAAGAGAAGGTTTTGAGTTGTGTAGTTAGCTATATTTCCATTTTGCTCATATTGAAGGGAAAGAACATGCTAATGATTAAAAAGATTGTTTAGGGTGGTAGCTCCGGAAGAAAAAGTTGTAAGAAAAAGTAACAAAGGGTGAGGTAAAAGTTGTTTTAGTGACATATAGAGTTAGGGTCTCTGTTGATGTAAATGAATACAGCCCAATGACTCAGAGGATCTATTTGGTTTGCTACATCTGGATTCTAATGCTAAAGCTAGAAAAGAAACTTAAAAGCCAAATACTAATTATAAAATCACAGCCAAGAGCAAATAGTATTACATTTATTTCTACACTGAATAACACAGTAATCCAAAGTTGACTTAATCAACTATGTCCACCCAAGGGAGATGAATAAAAAGAAACCTAGTAGATGATATTCATCATCATATAAAATAGTGGTAATTACCATTAACAAATAGTTTTTAATAAGCAAACATACAGTTAGTACTATTAACTTGAGGTTTTTCTCATTAGAAGAAAAATTTAAAAAGAGGAAAAAAAAACAGGGGAGTTGGAACCTGATACTTTTTCAGGATGGATACAAGGCACCTGATTTTAACTACTTTAAAAATTGTTAACTAGTGGAAAATACCTGTTGTAGTATCTTCCTGATGTTCCTTTCACTTCTGACTCTATAGATAGAAATCTTGAATCATTAGTTTAGATATAACCTATAAGTTTCAGATTACTAATATGGATAGGAAGTAAACACTAAACTAAACAGTTATTAAGATAAACTTTGTAAATCTCTCCTTTATCCTAAACCAATCTAACTAACCAGACCACTGAAGCTGCTGAAACTCATTTTTGTGGGAAGATGTGCTTAACTTAATTTAACCACTCTCTTGAGATACTCTTGAACTAGTTGTTTCCAATCCTTCAAAGATGTAGTGTTTTGATCCGTGAAGACCTGTAATATTCCTTTCATGAATCCAACAGTCACGCCTGTTAAACAATTTGCAGCGGTGTTTTCAGCTCTGAAGCTCTTGGGGAATCACTGTATCACTCTGTGGCTGCAATTCAAAAAGTCAGATTATTTCTCCAGATGACAGATGTTCAAAATCAATAGTGGTTAACTAATCTAAGTGTACACTGCAGGATGTTTTTTTCTTTGGAGATGACTGCAAGTTGTTTGGTTTTTTTAAGTTCAGGAAAATGTGTAATTCTGCCTCTCAATCACTGTGTTCTTTTGAACAAAATATATGCTGTTTATTTTTATTTCTCTTACTGAAGTGATAATTGTCTATTCTGTTATTGCATCCTGTGAGTCTTTGCTGACCACTGTGACTTCACAGATATATTATCAATCTAAATTATCCATTTTAGGTAGATAACTGGTATCAGATAAGTATCCTTATAGATAGGTATTTATATATGCTACTATTCCTGAAACATGACAACCATTTTTATGGGTTTGTTTAGCTTAGTGGACTTCTTCTTTTCCATTTAGAACAGATTTGAACCTCAGAAATATATACTTATTTCATTTTCGGATGCCATTTGTTTTTCATAACATAGTTTGCAACCGTTTTTGCTTCTCAGAAAGAGCTTTTTTAAAATGTTTTTAAAATTATGAGAAATATACCTAATTTTCTACTGATCAATTTCTCATGAGAAGCATACTTCACCGATGAGCATGTATAGACCTCTGAAATTTGGCTCTCCCATCTGCCATCTTCCAATCTAAAAGCAAGCCAAATGAAAAAAACCCCACAAACAAACAACAAGCAAACATGATAATAGTAATTGCCTCATAAGCATCGCTAGGGATCTATTTGTTTGTCAAAAGTTTAAAAAAAAAGTAGTCAGGAGAACAGAACAGAAAAGAAGAGCACTAATCAGTGTGTCCTGTGCTCTTCTTTGTAGTCCCAGCGCCGTGTTACATTTCACCTCCCTGATGGCTCCCAGGAAAGCTGCAGTGACAGTGGTCTGGGAGACCACGAGCCGGTGGGTGGTGGAACCCTGATCTCACACCCTCTCCCTCTGGTTCAGCCGCAGGACGAATTCTACGACCAGGCTTCACCAGACAAGAGGACTGAAGCTGATGGCAATTCTGACCCCAACTCGGGTGAGTCACCATCACTGCTCTGCTTATCTGAGTTGCTTTGCTATCTTGGTTACATTCTTTTTCATACCTACGAGCTTTGCAATGGTAGAGATGTTTTTAAGCATGTGCATGAATATTTGGTCATGTTATCTCATAAGGATTGTTTGGAAATAATGTAGTTTGCCTGAAGTGCCTCATATTGTAATTTAACTGCAGAACCAAAAATACACCCAGCGGAATAAACAACTTCGTACTAATTGCACAGTAAGTAAGAACAGCTCCGGAGAAGGATGTCCTACAAGGTAGCAAGTTTTTCTTCATGTCTGTAGTGTTGTTGCTATTTAACTTTCTACTGTGTTTTCAGAAAGGAATTCTAAATATCAATTTAAAGAGCAGGGCCATGGAGGTTGCACTAACATAGAAAACAGTAAATCAGTGAAGCACTGAAAAATTTAAAGAATCCACATTTCTGAAACACACTTACCCCTTCTAATAGCAAGAATCACAGGGTTTCTTTGTTAGGTTGGAATGGCATGATGTTCTGTTTTTTGGAACTGTCAGATATGTGTTTTTGTACAAATATTAAGGATGTGCACTTTATCTAATTTGGGAATTTCTGCCGTTCTTCTTTCTTCTCTATAATACGTTTTCATTATTGCTGTGTTTTTGTGACAGTCAACACTTAAAAGTGAAACAATGTTTTAACCAATATGTGACTACTATTTTGACATTGGAATGTGGAATGTGGAGATTGGACATACCGAAAAGAGGGAGGGGGCAACAGTACTGCCCTTAAGCCTCTTGTTCTCTGTCTAGAATGTGGACACAAAGGTTAAAAGTCTTATCTGTGCTCTTGGAAAGTAATTGAACTTGAGTTCTCTTGCATCCCAGGAGTATAGAAATAAGAACTAGTTTCTGTCTTTGGCATTTCTCCCTTTTGTATAGATGATTAAGTTGTCACTGGGCCTGTACAAACCAGGAAAGAAGGTGTCCTTGGGATCTGATGAACAATATTAAGGTCCATCTTCTCATTTGGGCAGAGCTGGATCTGAATTATGCATTTACATCATGGCAGATGAGAACGTGAACTGTGGAATATTGACTTTGGAAATATTTTTCTCATATTTTTATGGGAAGACCAAGAGATTGTGTTGGATGAAACCTACAAAGAAACATTTTGAAATGCTTTACTGTCTGAGAATTGCATTCTGGTTTATTTTCCCCTGTTATCTTTTTCCTTTTCTTTTTTTCCCTGGATATGACACCTGCATATTATTTTCTTTACCAAAACAGAAGTGTTGTTGGAACTATGATCTCAAACCCTTAATCTGTAAAAATACAAAGAATGATAAAAGAATAGCAACTATGAATGGATCGACTCTGGAGCAAGAATGTATGTCTGCTTAAGCAAGTGAAGAGCTTAAGTGGAATTATCCAGTTAATTCTCTGACCATGTATGAGACTTGTGAAAGATTTAACAAGATCAGAGAGGAGTTTTCAGGCAGCACTGAGTGTTGCCACTGTCACATTAGCTTCACCGACTCTGAATTGAGCATCTCTTCAAAATGCAGCATAAAAATCCTCCAGGAGAGTTAGGAAAAAAGGACTTAGTAAACTTCATAGCAAGTTATTAAAAAGGTGGTTTTGGAAATTTTTGTTAAGCACATTGTGCAAACATAGTATATTAATCATGATCAACTTTTCATGCCTAATATAGATGTTAATAGATGATTAGTCAGAATAAGTGTTCTTAAAAGCTGTATGAAAAGTTTTAATATGTCTGTGGTTACACCTGGTTTAGCCTTAGGGATGCTAAATTCTTGTCAAATTTAGGAAGATCTAACCATCAAGCTGTAGTGATGATTAGTGAAGTATTAAAGTATAGAATTTTTGCCTTTTATCAGAAATTCAAATAATGCATTCCATATCTCAAAAAATCTCACAAACTAAGAAGGGAATGATATGGTCATTACTGTGACAGAAGTCATCCTAGGAAAACCCAGTCCAGGATGGGAGTGATGGTGCTCATTAGGTGGATTTGACTTTTATATCCTATTCAGTATCAAGCTGTTGCCTAGGCATTGTGTCAAAAGTTATTTTGCTACTGGATGCACAAGTTTTTGGATGAGATGTGAAATGGAGTTTAAAGTAGTTTATGGTCATTGAAGATCCTGTGGCAATTTTCGGAAGAGAAAAATGCTGTCTGGTGTTGGGCAAAGTTACTTTGTGGGTTTTTACATACATTCATAGTTAAAATAACCAGTGTAATATCATTTGAACATTGTATTCTTTGACACTGCTAAGCTGAATTTCTAGTTTTATTGCACTGAAATGTTCAGTAGTATTTAACTGTAGAGGTAGTTTCATTTCAGTGGCTGTTTAAGGAATTGCTGTTTATGAAAATACTTGGGTTATTCTAAGGTAATATATACAACTATACAGTAAGGAAAAAATCATAGTGAAGAGACATAGTATTACCATGTACATGTACTGCTACCAATTTTAGATAAATGTTGCAGAACAATATTTCTATTTTAAATACTTCAACTGAAGAGAAAGAACAGTGTTTATGGGAATGTTTGCTAATGACCTCTACACAAAAATACAGATTTGTTCCACTGTATTTCTATGAAAGTTAATTCTAGGTAAAAGTTTGCTTCAGCTCATGAGAATGTGATGTTAATCTTGATAGTAAAGTCCTTGTCTCATGCTGAGAGCAATTTTGGTTAATGGCTTTAATACTCAGTGAATTGTGTGGGTTATTATTGTACACTGTGAATTTACATGAATAAAAATGCAGCCGTTGTTTCTCAGTATTAATATGTTGCTATTTTAATAGACCAGGGCCCAGGTCTTCAAAACCTGAAATATGGGCGGGGGGAAATGAGCTAAAAGTCTTGCTAACTTGCTATACAAAGATATGAGAAAACTTACTGTTATATTTGCCTGCAGTCATCAGCTTCTACAGAGACACAAGTACAATTACATGATTTAATGAAATAAACGTGCACAGTGAGAGTACACTTATCTAGCTAATCTGAAAACAGAAATCTCTCACACCGGGGGAAACTGAAATGAAGAGAGAAGGCAAATACTAGCACTGTCAGCCCCACACTGTCACTGTGGTTATGAGGAAAAGGCAACAAGATAGAAATATGAAGTCCTTTATAATGATATGTAAGCCCAGGTTTGGTTTGCATTACTCAAACCTGTCTTCTTTATTTAGAGTCTTTTATTTTAACTTGAGGGTTATATTTATTTTACTAAGATATGTTGTCCATTTCACTATTGTTAATTGATCAGTATTTATTGATAGTCAGAGGACTATGATGTTAACCTGTCAATTGCAGCTCCCTTATAGTTCATGTTTGTCTCGGTTGCAACTTGATATGCTTGATTCCTATAAAAAGTAAAGGATATTCCAAAGATCTGTCATCTGAGTCAAGTTCTTTACCTTTTAGTATATCAGATAAGAATGTAGAAAACATTCCAGTTCCTTTAGGATCTTAAAAAAAAAAAGTCTGTATAAAATAGTATTTAGTTCTACTGCTTTATAGCATCTCTTATTACCAAAATTTTTGCTTTAGTTTTAAATGTGCGTATCAGCAAGTACACTTTTAACACAAACATCTTTATCATCAGTTCCATTAAAAGTGTACAGCTCTCTGATGTATTTTGAAGTGAATTATTTCTTCAGTAATCACTCTAAAGAAAACTGTTTTTGTTTGCCAGCAGTCAGGTGCTGAAAGCTATTTTTCATTACTACAAGTGTGTTTTTCATCAATGCGAAAAAACAACCCACCCTATTAGTGAGGAATTCTTCTTTCTCTGTGGTTTAGTAAAGGTTGTCAGGGACTTAAATTTAGACTGGAATTGTTCACATATCTAAGGGTTTCATGTGGCAAAGCTGTGCAATAGAACTGTATGAAGGAAAAATGTGCCTCCTAGTGTATAAAAGGAGAAAAAAGCACTCATGTAAATGCTTGATAAATCAAATTTTGATAGCTGCAAGCTGTGGATGTGATTCATTTTTCTTCAAAGAGATAAAGAGGAATAGCATATATTTAGTGGAGTGTTAGAACTGCTCTAGGGAGAAAACCTACTATACACTGTGGATCAATCTATGCAATGATTCCAATGGTTTAAAACCAGACAGAAATATAATATTTATGTCTTCTGATACATGTTTATGAAGTTAAGTAAATGCTTGCCTAATTTCTACACCTCATTAATAAGTAGTATCAATATATGTTACATAAAACAAAGTGATAGCTTTATAAAATCAAGGAGCTGTAGAAAAATTGTAAATCACTGTTTTGAAGGTCATCCTTTTTATTTAGTAAAATTAAACAGAATATTCTGTTCTGTCCTATGTTTTTAATTACAGCTTCCAAAGCAATTCCATGTTCTTAGGAGTAATGTTATAATGCTGTCTTTCAATAATAATGTTTGTGGATAGCTTTTTTATTTTCAGTATAGTAAAGATTGTGTGGTTAAATTTGCCTGGTAAATACCTGAGTTCCCACTTTTTAATAAAACTAATACTATGGCAGTTTAGTCAAGTGATGTCAGGGGTATTAAATCATACTCTAATTCCAGTAATAAGTAGAAATATCTCTGTGGCAGTGGTTTAATTATAATTAAGGTTCAGAGTCATGGCAAGACTGTCTTGTATTACACTTGATCATATGATAGTGTCCCATGTGGAGAAGCTAAGCCTTTCACGCAAAGAGCTTTGGTTTTACAGTGTCACTATCATTACACCCAGTGGGTGATGGTGGTTTAACCTTGTGTTTAATCCTGTCTTTCATTTTGCTGCCTGAAAAGTTTCTTATTTGGCAATGCTGGAGTAATCCATAGCTGAACATCCTAAGGTGTAGAAAGAAATGGTACTCTGTTAATGCTTAGGTCCATAGTTATTATTGTATTTTCATAATATGAGAGTATGTGAACTAAAATAGGAACACTTGCCTTTGAGTCATATCCTCCATTTCATTAAACACAAGTTCATACTTTACACA